GGTGCGAGGACGGTGTCTGCCACTTGCCATCCGACCCTCGCCCTGACCCCTACCCTACGGGTCACGCACTCTTCCTTCTGGACAACAGAACCGACTTTGGTGCCAACCGTTGGGATGAGTACCTGGACATCAACAAGTTCAGGACCAGGCACATGCCTGGCAACCACTTCTCCATGATGCATGGCGATTATGTAAGTCTTTAGTCCTCTACCTCATATCCATCCATCAACTAACCAAGTTTCCCAGGCCAAACAACTTGGACAGTTCATTCGTGAAGCGGTTTGCGAGTAAGGAACTACATAGCGGAGCATGAGCATACGCGCATTGCAGGGTATAGAAGGGACACAGGACATCACATGACGACGCGAGCATGATATGAGACTGACTTTACTTTTCCTTTTACTACATTGTTCTTTTCTTGTCATCATTTTTCTTTTTTCTGTCTTAACATTTGATATCCGCTCCCTGTACAAGTGCGACCGGCATACATCTACGAATCATTCCTTATTTACGTCAAAGGGAAGGGATAACTGGAAGGGTGGGAAATGGAAGAAAGGGGGGAGGATACTTACACTACGAGGGGCGTAACTGTCTCATAATGCTCGGCCTTTTTCTTATCTGTCACGATCTTCTTGTCTTTCCTTACAACCACAACATGGCTTTTGGTGTTTAGTGTTTTTCATTGATTTTTTCGAACGGTCCATAGATTGGTACGCTTCAGCCGTACTCACCAACAAGATAGCAGTACTTTGAGTTCAATACACAAAGTCAAAACAACTTGCGTACCGCTTTGCCAAGTGAGTGAATCTTTACTGACCAAGTCTATCGACCTTGGAAAGCCCTTGCCTATTTCATCCAATCTTTTGACATGAAATTGCCAGTCTTGTCAGAATTTGTCTCATCCCAACTTCGCACTCTTAATTCTTCGCTGCGACTTCGCCGTCACAGGGGTTCTCCAATGTTCCAGAGGTTCCAGCAGAGAGAGGTGTGGGTTGTAGGGCGGTCTTAATGCGGCCATCACTTCGCGCATCGTGTGTTCCTTGCTTTTCGCGTTAGATACTTGCGACGATGGGGGTGCATCCCCTGCTTCCGATTCCACGTTCCCAATATCTTCACAAGTTTTTTTTTTTTTCTAGGTTTTCTTTTTGCCTTTTGTCCCGCCATGCTCATACTTCCTACTTTTCCCAAGGGCCAAGAACATCAGTTAGTCTCCATCTTCTGCGTACTTGTACTTGACGAGGAGAAGCTCGTTTTGCACACCCCGTTCCTGTTCAATTTTGGCCATCGGGATTTTCTGTCAAAAGCAAACCCCTTCTCGTCGATCTCGACGATGGTCTTCAAGATATATGCCCATACTTCCGATCCGCCCCACCGCATGTTCCTCTAGATGGGATCATCCATGATGCTCGGCCGGACCCTTGGATTATATCTCTTTCGCCCAGAACCCACCTACCCTCATCCATACCTACCCACTTCCCTTTCCGATCCCATCGCGCATTATAGCATCTCCAACTCGTTCCCCCCCCCAGAACGCCATACACGGCAATCATCTCGTCTCGTGCATGGAGACAAAGAACAGTTGACACAGCCATGTCCTTGCCCCCCTCCCGATTCGTAGATCCTCTCCCCAAGGCACACCAGATTTCTTGTGTGAAGATTCTCGCCCGTCCCAATTACCCAAATCTGGTCTTTCCCTCCTTCTCTATCCGCGCCCCTCCTCCCTCCCCTACCCGCCAACGTCATGGCAGGGCAGACGTAAAACGAAAGGCAAAGCGAAAACCGGCGATGCGATTACGGCGACAAACTTTAAAGTACGGCTTATCCCCCCCGCGAGACGCATTTGTGTGACGGAACGATAGATCCAGGCCTCATCTATGTGCTGACCCAGGGTTTTCCGATTTTGATCAAGTAGCTATCGCGATCTTCCGCTGGAATGGAATCCGCATCGTATCGTTCGTACAATGTGACGCCTGCGAATCCCATTCGGAAGACAAGACGACGGCATCTCTCTGCCAGCTCAGGAGTCGCCCTCCCAATGAAACCCGAATCCCGGGCCTGGGTTGTAGGCGACATATGCATGATACGAAAACCGGATAACGTGATAATTTGCGCTGGGCCACACGAAATGAAGCAAATCTACCTGGAAACCGGATAGTGCAACCATTCTAAGATCTCGCTGTATGTGTTTTCGAAGCACTGCTCCCCAAAAAAAGCAGCACGCGGTCGCGGTTGTGATGGCATTGCCGGGAGACATCTTCGACTCCGGTTCCGTCTCAGGGCCGAGTGCCAACCACCCAATAAGTGTCTCGCGAAGTAACATCGAGATGTTGCTTTACCAATACAATTACGTTTTCCAAGAAAGCATCCCACCGCTCCTGAGCGCTATCAGCATCCTAATCAACAAGCTGGTGTAAACATACCTTTAGTCTTCTCTGATTCTTGCAACTCGTCGCCATTGTCGACCCCGAGTCCGAATCCGTGATATGGTATCCGACAAAGTGGTCGAAAAGACCACAACCACATTCCAATGTCCCATGTACCATTGGTACATTGGCACTACATGTGCCACTCTGTACCCGATACCACAAGATGGTCTCAAATGCCACATGACCCTCCCTTTCCTCCCCCTTCGACTCTGCCCCGGATTCCCTCCCGAGTCAATGTCGAGCGAGACCTAGGCGTTCCAAATTTCCCTCTGACCATTCACTTTCCCTACCCCCCCTCCTCTTCACCTTCTTCACTGCTGGGGTTAGGTAGTGTTCTGGATCAAGGGCCGTAGTGCCGCTGACCACCCGTGTCTGTCTCAGAAGCCTTTGAGTGTCGACACTGTCTTGGAAGGGATACCACGTGCATATCCGCCAGGCACATGACCACGCGTGTGCGCGCGCGTTTGTAAGCATAGACATATCTCTCCGGGGTCTCTGAAGAACAGAATCGCGCCGCGAGGAACAGTGATCTTCACCACAGCCTGCTGCAGTCTCTTGCTGTACTCGATGGACACTCCTATATTGTGTCTTGTTTCGTCATCTCGCCATAACACATCCATGGTACGGAGTACAATGATTACATAGACCTAGACCTGTTGAGTGAGACAGGTCAGACTATAGCCCCGGCCTCGCCTGCATCTTGCATTTTCGCAGGGAGCAGCAAGTGTGAGTGATTGAGAGATCCCCTCAAGACGTAGCTGTCATCTGGTGTGGCAACAACTGATGCGGGCGCGAAGGCAGGCATCAGTAGCTACGAGGGCAAGGGGATCGGGTGCCCAAAGAAACCACCGGCCTAGCCGTGTAAGAATACTTTGCGCATTGGAACCTGCATCGATTATCTTCCGCTCGTACCCGTCGACTTCCGCCTGCATGTACAATCTGCACTATCGTCCTCGTGGGGTTTTGAAAGGAACACTACTCCTGTCCAAGAGGGGGGCTGCGATTTATCCAGGCGCCCGCCTTCGGCGAGCGGCAACATCGACGTCGCATTTGCCGGGTCGATCATATCCGCCCACATGGAGGCCCTTCCATGCGGCTCCCCGTCGGTGAGCACCCACTGAGTTGAACACAAGCTCAATTCAGCACAGCATGGTCATCAACAACGCGTATCATGTCAAACGCTTCCATGATCCTTTTCAAGAACCCATTTTTGGGGTCGGGATATTTGTATTGTATTCGACAGCATCGCCAAGCTGCGGGTAGAAAGAGGAATCTCATTTCTCGTCATATGGTTCCTTGTATGACATGCGAGGTGATTCAAAAGCACCATGAGGCCAGTCAATGACCAGTGCAATCAGTAAAAATCCATGTAAATTGCCACAAAAGTATCGGTAAGTCGCCATCTCGAGTCCTGTGACCGGGACTATCGACTGTTGTATCACACCTCTGCGATACGAGAGTTCCGGCTGGAGGGACCTGGGGAGATAGCCACGTCGCTGCAGCAGAGAAAGAACGCGACCCTTGGTACACCAGTTCCCTTTGCTTCACGAGGGCGCTACCGAATGGATGGTAGAGGCGTGGAAGCGGCACGGGTCGCTGTCTGGTGCTATGTAACCGACACTCGTCGGTCTTGATCCAATGCATTCCCCCGTACCGACGCAACTAGTGCATCGTGGGATGGCCAGTCGCACCGCGAGCTGCGAGTGCTGTCGCTCCCTTTCGTACGTAATTGAGATGGCAAGATAGCCTTAGGCCCCATCGCTTCGCCAAATGTCCTCGTCATGACGCCTACATCCGGCGCTGCCGCACCAGCATCGCGGAGAAGAAAGGGCCCTAATATCGCGTCTCAATTGAAGCTCGCGCTCGGTCTGGAGACAGAATAGGTTCTCTCTGCATGCTCCATTCTCGCCTTCGACTACACGACTCTGATATCGGAACCTACACGGAACTTATGTGGCGGTCGCACTGCCGTACAATTCTGCGAAGTTTTGGAGCAGCAAGCCGTTTGTGTATCGTTCAGCGAGACAACGTCCTTTCAAGTCTCCGATTGAATATCACAGCCGACCTATGAGGCAATGGGGTGATTATCAATGTGTCAATTGCGAAGAAACCCAAGCAACGTCGAGAAATCGACATGCTGGTTCGCAAATCGTCTGTTGGCTTGGTGGTAAGCTCGACGGTACCCTCCCCGAGTGAGTGCAAAGATTAATATTCTGACCGGCCGAGCATTGCCAGGTAGGGGCTACGGATAGCTGCTTGTTAGCGGCTGCCTCACGCTTGCCTTTGTTCTCATACGCCGTGTTCGCGACATTCGAGATGAGGATCACGAACTACAGAGGCCTCTTTGCCTCGCAAACTTGACGGAGGCCACGCGAAAGGATAAGGCTCTTAGAGCGCGTGGCAACACATCGTATTCCGCTGGAAGGAATAATCTGAAAGCATGCTGCCGTCATACGAGGAAGAGTAGGATATTGCCTTTGTCGTTTCTTTTGACCTTGCATGCCTAAGCGCACCCGAAGGCCTTAGTACGCTCCGGTGGAGGATACTGAAATAAACGGCGATACGGTGAAAGCGCTAGCTTGGGGCCGGACGGGAGCGTTTAATCGGCCGCTTCTGTGCTAGGAGTTGGCTGGACAGCGATGGGTGAGAGGGCAATATCACGTGCCTGGTGAACCTCCTTGACTGACTTGGTTCGCACCATCGCTGTAGTCTGTTCGTCTGTGCCGTCCGGGTGCCCATTGTTGTTGATGGTCGAAACCATAGGAACGCGGAGCCAGGATGACTATATCCTTGGAACCACTGGGAGTCCTATTTCCAGCCACACCAGCCTTTTTGGGCCTTGAATAGGAAGTTCGAGAACACGTATGTCGCAGTTGCTGTGCGGCCGAAGATAAGGTGCCTGAACGCTCACTGTCGTCTGGATACACGACGTTTCTCAGTGCGCTCATCCCTGGGTAGGATCAAACACAGGCTGGTGAGAATGAGATCCCTTCCGGGGCTCAGAGACGATATCGGCCAGTTGCTGGTGCTTACCGCTATACGGGACAGTAGCATCACAAATTCTTGGTGTAACTGTCATCAAACTCCACATGCGGATCTGCGGCGGCTTGCATTTCATCTGGTTGCGCAACCAAGACAGTCGAGTTGTTGGGCGTAAATAACGAATAATCAGCCAATAGTGAAAGTCCGGTGCGCCAAAGTCTGCTGGAATAAGCAACAATTGTGCATAGAGGACGATTGATTTGGAGGGACGAGCCGTCACCCAGTCGGATCTTTCATTTCGGGGCCGATATCGTTGTTGTCAGTGTTTTGAACATAGACACCATCAATCAAACAGGCGGGTAATAGCGATGAGTTGCCAGCGCATGGATCAGACTCCACCGGGAGCAGGAGCAAGCAAAGGAACCTGGTTGTTGTTGCGGGGTTATTGGCGCCCGCAAAGTACATCCATTGATCTGTGGATCAGAAGAGACGCACTTGCAAAATTGCAAGATCTGTCGAGTCTCAAGGCCGACTTGACCCTTGCGCTGTCAGAGTCCCCAGATTCGTCCGAAACATGACATGATCGACGTTGGAAGGCCTCGTTTGGTGGAGATCTCACCAGAACTGGCCAAAGTGGAAGCCCGTGCGAGATTTTGGCTGTCAATGGTATCGACTTGTCTCTATCCGAAAGCAGGCATTTGAGGGACAAGGGCTGAAGGGGAATTGTAGTCCACTGGAACTTAGCGTTGAGCTTGTTTGCTTTGCTCGAAGAAATCCAAAGAATTGTTTCGCAATGAGGCACCCCTCCTTTCTTTAGTTGATGGATCGGTAGAACGGTGTCTCAGTTAATCAAGATGCGTTGTTGGATACAATGAGAAAGATTCTGCTGGTTGTCGGCTTTGTAGATTGCCTGCGAGAGTCCTAATCCGGAATGTCATGCTGTCTGTCTTTGGGCGACTGGACAGTGTCTTGAAACAACTTTGCGCGCGCTAAGATTGGTAGGCTTTGGGTCTTTGTATGCCTGATATCCGTACTCAACCCCACGTATCGACGCCACGCTCGAACGTTGAGGGCTGATGCTTCAGAATAGCTCTAGCGTTGCTTGGAAAGGGACGAGAACACACCTCGGGGAGCCACGTCGCGGCCCATAACTCCGAGTATGATGTCATCTTCTGTTGATATGTTTTCGACAAGGACCTAAGAGTTCCCAAATTTGAACCGGCAGCTTATCAAGGAACTGTTGGACTGGAAGGGCTTCCATTCTATTGGTAGGGCGAAGACCACGCCAGACGCCAACTTGTTTCCTTTGGCCGTGGCTGACATCTCTCAGCTCTGCTCGAAATGAGGATCACTGCCCTTTGGGGAGGGCTATTGCTCCTTTTGTGGTGTATGAGAACGACATGCTAATCAGCAACGGTCGCTATGACTGACTTGGTAACCTAACGTCCAGGCGTCAGGTTCTTGGTGTCTTATTAGAGTCGTGGACCGTACTAATCTTGAAGCCATGAGTGGGGGATTTCCCCCAACCTCACCGTTCGGATGATGCTGACCCAACTCCGGGACTGGGGGACCAATCAAAGCTGGTATGCTGAAAGCGCGATAGGGTCGTAAGGAACGGTGAAGGACAACGCGCTTTCATAAGGACAGGGATGTCATCATATAACATTTGCCGGGTTTACTGGCTGTCTCGCTTCTCGGGAGATATCCGCGGGGCAATGGCACAAGACACTATTGAGGGCGATCGTCGCCGTATGTAGATGCCGGACCGCTGTCATCTTCAGCCTCACTTGCCCCAATTCTCCGATGACTCCCTAAGTAGAGGGAGAAAAGGAATGGCTTGATTGAGGAAAAAACTAGACAAGCGACTTTGGCCACTGCTTTGCTATTTTCTGCGTCCTGTCCTCGGTGGTGTCAACTCTCGACATCATTTGGCATGCAAGCCGTCCAGTCCAGGTGCACGGCCACCAAACTCGAGGCTTTACAGAATGGGAAGTATGTTCTGTACTTTGTCATATTTGGTGCCATTGAAGAACTGAAGTGGCGTTACTCAGTCCTGGGGTATGGCGACAGTATGCTGGCTGAACGATCGACGCAATCGGCCGCCCGTTGGCGAGCTATTGCCGTTCTGGGTCCTAATGGCTGCTGTGGCATTGTGACGTCGCACGGGGTCTGCAGACGCGGCTTGCAAATAGCAGGGAAGTGCGATGAGAGATCAACGGTGTCGAGGTCTCGGGTATTGTTGCTGTCTTCGCACTCATTTGTTCGTCTTAGACACCGGGTCTTTCGATTGGCGATTAGCGATTGACGGTTGAGCTTTGATCTGGTACAGTAAGATCAAACAGGCTGTTGAGGGTAGTGTGTCTCACTGTCTCGAACAATGGTGGAGTTATCGTCTTGGTCGGAGACATGAAGAGATATCTCGGCACATGGGTATCGTCGATCCGGCATCCGAATGTGGGCCTTGGTGTGCTGTGGCCTTGGGTTTTGGGCGTTACTGCAACAACCTTGGCAGTGAACCGCCTGCTTCAGTTGGTCATGAGTATTCAAGACGACAGGCGTCCAATGAGTGGTGGACTAGGTCGACGAGCGAACCAAGATTCCCAACGGAGGTCCGAGGAAAGACAGGGGCCTCGAGATTGTGCATTAGGTCGAAGAGGTTGGGTAAGTAGCCATTTGGCTGGCTTGACGCAGCATGAGATCCTGACAGCTGCAAAAACGAAAGTACAGGGCGGAAGAGGAGGAGGAGGTTGCAGCTAAGCAGTTGGCACGTAATCCTCGTCGGAGGCGCTGGGAGGAGTACTTGGCAGGTGAAGCGGCCGTGAGTTTGGCTCTGTGCGTCTGGGTGCAGGCGTAGGCAGAAGCTGAGGGAGGTGGGATGCCGTGCGGTGCAATGCAAGGCAGGCTCAAGCTGATGCTCGTGCTGATGATGGAGGAGGCAATGCTATCGATGGTGAAGCCGTTGGCGTTTGCTAATGGATGGCACTGATGGTGATTGATGGTGGTTCCGGGAGGCGATGAGAGGAGCGTGTTGCTGCGGGTTGCACGGGTACAGGATGGTGCAGTTCCTGGGACGACGGCAGCAGTTTGTGTTTCGAAACATGGGATTCTAGAAATCGGGGGGAAGAACCACAGACGATGTTGGAGCAGCATTGATGGTAGCCAAAGAATGCCGAGTCGATCGAGGGTAGGTTGATTTACGATGTCAGGTTGCAGTGCCGTCGTGTCGGAGCATGGTCCGGGTGTGACGGGAGAGTAAGGAAAAGGCAACCTCAGTCCCAACGGCAAGGGACGTGGAAGGAGCCAAAGGAGCGCAAAGGGAGACCTTGCGCGAGCGCACCTTACCGGAAATGGAATCGACCAAGAAAGAAGAAAAAGTTACGGTAAGGTAGCGACTGCCTTGGTCTTCAGGAAAATTTACACGAGGAAGGCACAGAGGTGAGCGAGCCACGAGCGTGATGGGGACAGAATGGAGGACGTGCCTGCCGTCGGGGTGCCTGGTCACCTTAGGGCAGGTTGTCTGCCCGCGCCTGCCCTGAGCTGGAAGAAGTGGGTCAATCCCCAGGACTCTTCCTCCTTAGGTACGCAGTAAGGCAAGTCCAGTCCACTTGAGGGGACGGAAAGCATAACCGCCCGTCGTGTGGTGTTCCCTGCCGTTCCTGCCGTCCCCATCGCCCCGCCTCCTTCCTTGTGCTCCGTCTTTTCCCACGGCCGCGGTGCGCTTCCGTGCCGTGTCAAGTGGGTCTCGGCCATTTTCTCTGCTGGGGTGATTCCTAAGGCAACCCCCATCGCGGTAAAGTAACTTGTACATGATCTTACCTTTTACCATTGAGAGAAGCTACCTCACCTGCTACACCTCACTAAAGTGAGCTTCTATTTTTTCACCCTCCTTCAGGCAGCCCGACATGTGCTCAAGGCATCAGCTCTGTGCTGTGCATGTCCTGAGATCAGCTAGAAAGAACCACCATGCATGCCTTGGGTCCCAAATTCATGCTGGGGTAAGAGCGATTCTTACATATGTGTAACGTAGGTAGATACTGGGATGCTCCGCTTCCTTGCTTCCTTTACCTCCGACTTGGCCACGCAATTCAATCCGTCTCCAAAGGATCCGATTCTGACTCGAACCTGCGTCGTCGATGCTTTCCCAGGATACCTACCAAGGCCACTTTGACCACCATAGAATAAGACTAGAAATCGGCAAACTCACCTCATAACTTCTGTCACACCAGAGTCTAGAAGCGGCTCTCGGGGGGCTGGGACCTCCCTTTTCCGTACCTTATCATTTCCGCGGATAAGGTAAGGCAAGGTAAAGGTAAGGTAGCTGAGGTGCTCTGAGCTCTGTGCGGGAGCCCCGGGCCACTGGCCAGCAGTTTGACTGATGCAGTACGCTGCGAGAGTTTCGGCAGACGTCAACGTGTCGTTTGTCTCCTCCTGTTCGTCTCAGGAACTGCGGGAATTGCGTGTTCCCGTCAATCGTCGTGGTGAGACGCTGGGAACTCTGCGGCGCCCTGGGCGCGGCGGCGAAGGCGGCCTCTGCTCGGCGACACTTCAGCCACCTTGGCTGACAGGAGGGGGACAGCCATCAATGCTGTCGAAGCAGCAGTAGTTCTGAATCGCTGCCTCATCCGAATCATGTTGGGAGGCAAGCGGGATAGCGCCATGAAGAAAACTGCCCAGAGGGTCTAGGGGTGATGGGAAAACTTAGGAACATAGTCTCAAAGAGGAAAGCAGAACGTGGAAACACGATGCGCCTTGGCTTCAAGTGGCTTCGGACCTTCGGACCACAACGGCCACAGCTGTTATGAATAAGACGAGGTTTGAGAAAGAAAGAGTCGTAGATGGATGACGAGCACACTTCATGTCGGAAAGCGGAGAAGAGGGCATTCAACCAAACTCTTTTTGCAAGAAGCTCATAGGATACGAAGAAATCTGAATCACGATAACGGGCCGTAAGATTGGCAGTTCGCCAAGCGTGGACGCCACTTGGTGGGTGAGCTCCTCGTCTCTGATCATATCTGCTATCCGGAGCTTCGAAGTCTTTGCTTTATCTCGGCCGATGTTCCGGTACTTTGCGTCCAACACGAATGGGACCGTTGCTAGCCAACCTACCCTGCGATGTCTCTCCATGGGCCTCGTATTTGTCCGAGTACGTACATAGCTTGCTGGTCAACTGGAGAAAGCAGTCTATGCACACAATCGTGCATCTTATACACAAAATGTTATGCCTGGGAACATGAGGACGTTGTATGTTGGAACCGGGTGACAAGTTGTCATGGTTTTGGATCTGAATCCGAATCTGAATCCGGAGCGAGACACAAGACAGGAAACAAACGCTTTGTCCGCAACCCGTGGCTTTGCAGGAGTCAGTCGTACTTTATTTTGCCTGTCACGGAGACGGGAAAGAAAAGGAAATAGCATCTGGCGGCTGTTCCTAGGTACTCTAGTCTCTGATCCGCAGTCAAGGAGACCACATGCACATTGGATACATGTGCATCAAGAGTAAGAAGCGTGCATGTTGCTTACATTGGACACTGGCAGCATATTCGGGTACCGTCTTGCCAGGACTACGTATGGCTATCAGCACAGTGTCTGAAGTTTGCATGTCACGCAATGTTCCATGGAGTCATGTCGAGAGCGTTGGCGTGTTGTAGATTGTGCTCCAAGATTCCATACAATCAAGGCAGTTCGTATATCCATGTATCTGAAATCAAAGACTAAATCAAATCAGTGTAAGCAAGGTGAGCAAGTCTCGGTCAGGTATTAGCAAGAGACGAAGATTTGGAAGGGAGAGGCAAAGGCAGGGAAGGGAAACCTTGAATACACACCACGGAAGCCGCCCAATTGCTGGTTACGTGCCTCTCTGTGTGAGGTCCAAGCTTCTTCCCGCAGGAGGAGGCAAGATACGTACTCGGTGAAAGGAGGCAGGGGGGCAAGGGCGAGGGGGAGAGATCTCACCCCATCCGCACCGTTTACTCAGGGACCCCCTGTCTCTGGAATTACAGGGGTCTTCGTTCCCCCCTGCTCGTGTCGTGCATGGTTAGGCTCGTGGCCTCACCCTATCTTTACCCTCGCCTTTTTGGAGAACTGGGGACGAGTGCGAGGTACCTTAGGTATGGATGGGAAGTTGTGAAGAAGACTTGAGAGGCAGCGAACAGCAACCTGAACCACCTAACCTAAGGTAAGGTAGACCACTGACCAAGGCAGAGGCAGTGGAAGCTCTAAGGCAAGCGAGATATCGCGATGCTGCATGAGGCATGAGGCATGAGTGAGTGGCACATTTAGAGGAAGTGTGGGCCAATATGAAGACGCTATCGGCGACTTAATGAGGGCACATTGCAGCTGAAAAAGCTGCAGAATTACGGTGATCCCACGAAACAATGAGAGACGGGTAGGAGGAGGAGGAGGAGGAGGAGGGGGAGGAGGACCTCGTAGTCGAGTCACATGGCCATGGAGAATGGTAGACACGGAGAGATTTCCTCGAAACAAGGCGCCGAAGAATACCAGCTAAGCACCTTGAGCAAGGTGAAGCGGACATGTTTCTGGGTCTTATCGGTTGGCCGCCTCTTCCTTTTCCTCACGTTACACATTCATTGTTCCGTACCAAGGTCATCAGGTATGTGGGTATCATCACAAAGACAACGATTGATGAAGAACAAACATCCGTAAGGTAGGGATACCTTATTACCGTGAGGTAAGGAAGGTAAGCGACCTGATACGTGCCTCTCAAAGGAGAATTCACGGACGGCCTGTCATGGCGAGGGTAATAAGGCACATGGAGAGAGAGTGTGAGAGAAAGAGTGAGAGAAAGAGAAAGGCACAGAGAAACGGTACTTGAAACGAGGTACATGTTGGAACCGTCATCTTACCTAAGCCCACAGGCCCACGTCCAATCATCTACCGTCGCCCGAGGTACCGTTCGCTGTTGTCATCTTTTTGCCCAGGCAAGGCCCCAAGGCGGCAAGGCCCCCCTTCTGGGCGCGGTTGACTTTCCCATCACCCCATTCGCCCTCTTGGAAAAGGTACTTTGTCTTTTTCCACCTCACCCTCTCTCACCTCCACTGGGAGTCTGGGACTTCACACACCCGAATCTGACTCTGACATGCCACTTCACCTCAATTGCCCTTCGCTCTTCGTTTGTTCCTCTGTTTCTTAACTATGTTTTTTTTATTTTACCCCAAAGACATGGATTGCTCTTAGCTTCTTTTCCGCCTCTCCACCTTCACCTCCAACTCCCCGACATCATCACCTCTCGCCCGTACCCGCGGCCCCCGTGTCAACCGTGTCTTTCAACTTTGCAGTCCGTCCCTCGCTACCGAGTTCCCCCTTGTCCATCGTCTTTCCAAGCTCGTCCTCCCGCTCGCCCTTCTTCTTCGTCGTCCTCGCACACACATTCGTCCTCGGACCAATGCCTGGTCTGTTCCAACTGGCCGAGCCAATCAGCCCCAGCGTGCGAGCACATCCGCCTGCCGTCGGTTGCCCGGCATACTCCCCTACGGAGAGGCCCAAAGGAAAGTATCTCGTCCCTCTTTTGTTGATCAAGGTACAGTCCCGTCTTCTTGAGCCTTCGATTCTTCTCCCCGAAGCAACGTCCACCCCTAACCTACGGCCTATCCTGATCCCTGCACATGGCTTCTTGTTCCTATCTCAGTTCCACTGTCCACTCCACCAGCTTGGTTCGGACCTGGGTCTGATCGAGCTGATCGGATACCTTACTGCCCACAGATACGCCTGGACCCTTCTGGCCTTGCTCTGCCTTACCTCACCTCACCTTGCCTCGCCTTGCTTTGCCTCGCTGTAGAATCTTACCGTACCGTTCTATCTTCCGTGCTTGCGGAGCTTCACCTTCCACAAGGCACTTGGAAGACTCACTGTATCCATACCAAGTTAGAAAACCGTGTGTGGACATGGCATGCTGAGCATAATCCACAGTAAAGGTAGCCCGCGTCATCACCCTCTGCTCCCACTTCCTTGTCCCAGTCGCTGTTTCTGACCATTTTGCTTTTTACCACGCCAACTTGGAACGAACCGTTTACTACCGTCCCACCTCTTTGCCTTATCCGAGGGCAGGGTATCCTGTCCTTGACCAGGCCCCAGCTCAAGCTCACCAAGCTCTAGATTCAGCACACACCACCACCATCATGGCAACCATCATGACCCTCATCAGCATCAGCCTTCACAACACGACACCGGAGCACAGCGCAGTTTCTGGGATATGCTTTTCAGCACAAACCAACAGATGCCGTCTCCTTCAACCCACCCTGCTTTCTGCCTTTTGATTTCCTAGTTGTCTGCCCACCAAGTGGATGGATGGTCATGGTGCCCCCCCCCATCATCCGTCCACTCAACCCTTGAAGTAAAGAAATCAGGGTCTCATTATGGGGAACTCCATATGGGTGATTGCCGGCAGCACTTGCGTTGTCTCCAGAGTTCCGTGGGGAAGCTGGGGAAGCTAGAAGTGGCAACGTCCAACGTCTATCACCAGCCAGGTAGGTAGAATATCCATCTGAATGGTTTCGGTAGCTGCTCCCCTCTCTTCCCACATCGGCCCAAAGGGGTGCCACCTACGTTGTCTGCATGCCCAGACAAGGCTTTATCAGGCCCAAACCGTTCAAGCCTATGCTTCGAATTGGTCTGGTTTGGTTCTTTCTGTTGTCTTTCGCTCTGCACCTCGCTGCCGGCTAGCTGCCGAGTACTCAACCTCCCCGGTCAGTTCACTTTGTCCAAGCGGTCGAGCGAGCTCTGGCCTGCTCAGGAGAGACTTATCCAATGCCATTTGCACTTGAAGCCCAAGGGTCTTTGCGTGCGAGTGAGCCAACCAACCCATGTCCACACCAATGGACGAGTCCAACGTACCAAATGGGCGTTTACATGGGCCGTTTTCTTTTTCCCTCAGACTGCCTCTCCGTCTACTCTCATTCTCACACTCACACTAGCAACCATAATACGTACAGGTACGGGGTACATGCTGGGGGGCACCTTATGCTCAGCCAGTCTCTCACCTCTTATGATTGTGTCTCTCTCTGCCTTCCCTGTCTCCCTCCAGGGTGGGTAATCAGAAGTCGAGCAAGGTCGGTCAACTTTTAAACCAATTTGTCCACGCCCTCTTTCAAGGCCACAGCCCCCAATGTACATGGTTATGTACAGTGTATACGCCAATGGATAGCATATCTAAATCAGGCCCTCGCTTTTTAACTGTTCAACGTCCGCTCCTTCTCATCCGCGTCGCATGCTTCTTGTTCTTACAAGCTCCTTCCCTCATCTCTTCCTACAGCAACACCCGGACTCTCACTCCATGCTCGTCCCTCTTGGACTCTGGGTTATGGCCGTGACCGTTTCCGTTCCTGTTTCGTAACCCCGTTTTTCTCTCATCCACGTTGCTGTCGACCTTAGTCGGCTAGACTCCGCTCGCTGCCGCCCTAAACCTCGATCCGTGGCCCTCGGAGCTCTTCCCGCACTTCATCGCACTCTCACGCGAAGCCTGAATAGAGCTTGCTAATCCTCCTTCGCCTTGTACCCACTCGCCTTCGATTGTCACACAGACATCTTTCTTGCACCACCTACAGAACTCTAATACTTTCCGCCGTTGTCCAGTTCTTTAATAGTAGCTTGCCCCTCCACCATTATTGCATTCTCTGGACCTATACAGCTTTGTTAGATCAAGATACCCCATCTCCTTCTTCTCACAGAGTAGTCTCAAGCAAACTCGGGAAACTCACCTTAATCAACAATGTCTTCTTCCTCCAAACCTCGCCAACCCCGACTCCGGGCCTCTTGCGATGGGTGCTTCTTGGCCAAGGTCAAGTGCTCCAAAGCAAGACCCATCTGCTCCAGATGCCTCGCGTGCGGTCTCGAATGTCGCTACTCTCCCTCAAGCAGAGCCGGCAAGCCAAAGTCAGACAACAGCGCACCAAGCCACGCAAATACTGTCCACATGGATATGACCGACCTATCTCCCATCATGGACGAAAAGAACCTCATGTTCGGCCAACATCCCGGCATGTACAAGATGGAGCCTGGCTGGCATACGCCTACAAGTATGGACTCGGGGGCCATGAGCAGAAATCCATCAATTTCTTCTGGGCTCGCCATGCTCGGCGTCGACGACACAACCCCAAGAGACCACCAAGATCCGACAGCAGACATGTACGGAGGCGGCATGCCCTGGACACCACCCACAGATTTCTCAGCTGCTCCATATCCCGATATGACAATGTCTACCGCACATATGGCCACCCATCACGGCCGCTCTCAGTCCATGGACATGGCCATGGCAGCCCACATGACACCGTGGGGAGACCCAACGCAGCATGATATGATGGCGTATACTACCATGCAGAATCCAAGCAACATGGCCGCCGCCGCATACTTCCCGAGCCCCTCAACAACACCCAACATGCGACCAGCTGTCCGACACAAGTCTTCATCGTCAGGAGGCGGAGGTTCCTGCACCTGCTTTACAGTTCTCTTGCAGTCCCTCCAGGCCCTGCACAACGCCTCATCTCCCCAGGCACCACCATTTGACCTCGTCCTCTCTCTCAACCGCAAGGCTGTCGAGGGATGCGCCGCCATGCTCTCCTGCAACAGGTGCATGAGCCGCTCCGGCACCCACACGGCGGCGATGCTGCTGGCGACAGTCATTGGCAAGATCACAAGCTTCTACAAGAACGCCACGCACACCTACTTTGAGAACGGCATGGTGCCCGCTATCAATCAACTCAGCCCCGGCGGCGGACTCGGCGTCAGTCTCGGCGCCTACACGCTGGGCGGCGAGGACGGCAGGTGGCTCGAGCTCGAGATTCTCAACCGCGAGCTTCGCAAGCTGGAGGAGGTCTACGCGCAGTTCCGCGAGGTCTGCGCTGATCTGTCAGAGGATCCTGAAGTCAGCAAGGCCATGATTGGCTACCTCGGCCACAACCTTGGCACGACTCTCGAGGTCGTCAGCCATCGCAAGGGCGACATGAGTTATGCTTAGTCAGGGGACCCAACAGTTCGGACCAAAGGCCTTGCAACTCGAACTCAAACTCGAACTCCAAAAAAAAAAAAAACACCAGAGGAGGCAAGAGAAAAGTACAAAAATTTGGAATACACACAAAGAGCGCTGCCACGGATGAGCGGCGCTCACTCGACACGACCGATATGAGCATACACTACTTCTTTTTTCACCCTTCTTCTCTTGGAAGACTTGGCACGTTATTTACACGGGGGAGTGATAGGTCGGTGGGGAAGAGAGAGAGAGCCAGTTTTGAGAGTTATGGAATCGACTATTGTACATTTTTGTCAGGCGTTTTACTGAATTTCACCAGCTTTGGTTTCTTTCTATCGAGGAACGGCGCAACGAAGGCGTAAATTTTCTGGTTCATCTCTTGTCGTTTTTACTGCTTTCCCCCTGCGGAAGCCAACTTTCACTCACTTTGGGCGCATCTATCGGGAAGGGGAAGGGGGCGGCGGAGACCGGATAGAACCTCGGATTGGACGGCAGCAGGCAGAGGAAGGGGATCGGATACCTGGAACAAATGGCAAAAAAAAAGGGATGATTGCGCGCGTGTACCGTCAGATCGTCATCCACCTGTTTCTTCACCAATTCCACACACACAAATCTTTGGACAACCTTGTTCGACCGAGCTTTCCTCTCAGGTAAACTTTGTCATTCTGCTTGGATTTCGCTTTTTTCCCCATGTATTTTCTCATAGCGGAATCTGTTATGGAGTTCATCCGGAAGGGGAAGCATCATGAACCACGCCGTCCAGCGCTTCGACGCTTTTTTTTTTAATCTTCGGACGGCAAAAGTCAGTATCTAGTCAGTAGTCAGTAAGGTAGTTAGCTAATGGAGACGATTCCTTGTCACAGGCAGAATTATCCCAATAATTACACAATCATTGCAAAAGTCGGGTGTCATCAAAATGTCATCATCGTGCCTCACCAAGACCCTTTGCCATACATCGACAACTCCCAATGTGGCATCTAGATCTGACGCAAGGCCAGCTCTCGATCGAATTTCATGTCAGAATCCGAGACGCAAAGTGGGGTCCACTCGACTTCTCTCTCTCACTCTCACTCTCTTACGCATTCTCAAATCTCAGAATCTCAAATCTGTTACGCATTCTTCTAGTCTCTTACTCGACTCTGAGGCTCTAGTCTCTAGGCAATCGTCCATGGTCTGACAAGACATGCGGGTGCGCTATGCGAGGGCTATGCGAAGGTAGACAAGGGTGGGGAGGGGGCGGGGGGGCAAATCGTGGTAGGAGCAGCGGCAAGGACGACCTGAGGGAAGAAGGAGGAGGCTGGGTAGGTAGACTCTTGGGACTTGATACCACGTGCATTTTAGTCAGGCAAAGAGTCAAGGTGGTTGCATGAGTTTTTCTGTGTCGCTCTGCGAAAAGTGTCGAAGTGGTTGCATTAGCCTTGCCGGGCTATCCAAAAATGCTCTGTTTCTCTCTCACACACGCACTTACACGTACACACTTACACACACACACACACAACTCTCGGCACTGGCCGATTGATTTTCCCCGTTCCCCCACCCCGCCGCCGCCGCAGGCACCCCCTCTCCCGCTCCTCCTCCTCTTACAACACCACACACATACACACACACACTCTCTCTCTCTCTCTCTTCCTCTCTCTCTCTCTCTCTCTGTCTCACCTCATCCTCACCTCGACTCACCTCGACTCTCGCATTCTCACCCCGGAACCAAAAAGATTTCATCCGTCCGTCAACCCGCTCGTCCACCACGTCACTGGCGCCGTTTCTTCTCATTTCTCCTGCACCTTTCCCGTCCCTTCCGTTCATGCAACCAATCT